AGTAAACATTATGTATATTACTTGTTTTTGATTGGCTATGCAATCTCACATAAGGTAAATCACTACAACAGCTTAGCTGTTGCTGCTACTGTGAAGCTAATGGAGTATGTAATTCTGCTTACTTGTATTGTTTATTTATGTGTATTGTGAGAGTTCACACAAACCGTACTCACCACTGTTAGTGAAAACGGGTGCGGCACTTGTGACACCAGCTGTACGCGGTTCCTGCCGTTGAAGTCGGACGTCTCGATCCTGTCCAGGTGAGCGTCGACCCAGTACACCCTCTTGTTGATGGGGTCGATGGTGATCCCGTTGGGCCAGCCCAGGTCCGTGTCCACGATGACACGGCGCTCAGTCCCGTCAAGCTGCGCTCTCTCTATTCTCGGGTAAGCACCCCAGTCAGTCCAGAATATGTACCTGTCACAACAGTTAATGTGTTTATCACTCAAGCCAATGACAATGGCTGTTGAATCTGACCTGTATGTAATCTCTCCCTCAGTTGGTCATCAGCAGGTCTGTAGAAAAGAAGACATCACACCTCCAATCCAATCCAGATTTTAAAAGGCAGATTTTAATGGTTTTCTATTTAAAATCAGTGAAGTTGGAAATTAATAGGCAACCTGACAGACTGAAAACATAACAGCAGGCACAATGTTGTGTATAAGTGCTGAATAGGCTTACCCTTTCCTAGGGAAGAGAGTGATGGCCCTGGGCTCGTCCAGGCTGTTGTTCAGGAGGGTCTTACGACTGGAGCCGTCCAGTCTGGCCACATCAATGGTGTTCCTACCTGTGTCTGTCCAGTACAGGTTTCTGGGAGAAAAGACAAAGCTCTGAGGACTTCAAGATTTCTTAAGAGACATATATATACATGTATATATTCCTATCCACAGTGCTGGTAATGACTAGGAGGCTTTTTAAAGAGATGAATGACATCCTCTGAATTTCAAACTTGTTATGGTAATCGTTTTTCAGAGCATGCATCTGTATGTTGATGGTAGCACAAATCTGGGCAAACATACAGTTGTAGATATATTTGCTCTTGCATTTTATGTTTCCTTACCTGGCAATCCAGTCAACTGCAATTCCATCTGCCGTGACCAAGTCCCTATACACAATGTCCTCCATTCCAGTTCCATTCAGATTAGCTCTCCTGGAAACACAAATTGCTGATTGAACAAACCAGAAGGATGCTAAAATCTACACAATGAACAACGTGTATTGACATCCATATATACACCTACGTGTGACAAGGGCAGTTGCAACTGAATAGGGATGAATTTAATCATCAGTCTATTCTTGTAACTCCTGGAACATTTTGCAATTTTGTGATGAAGTATATGCTTAAAACTAATTCCTATTTAGTTGTGAATACCTAATTTTATCCAGCTGCACATCAGTGTAGTACAGCTTCCCCTCGTAACTGTCGAAGTCCAGTGCGATGACATTCTGGATGTCAGGTAAGGGGAGGATGACGTCCGTGTGGTCTCCTGTGTCCAGGGAGATCCTCCTGATGCTTCCTCTGGCAGCAAACAGCAGCATCGTCTCCGGGGCTGCAAATTAGATGCGGTGTGTAAAAGATATTCAGAACTATCTGATTCATTCACATTCCAAATAAACATACATGCACATGTACAGAGAAGGTCTCTTGTGGTACTGATAAAACTGTACTTTGGGGCAAGCAACAAAAACACTTATTGCATCATTCAGTAACAATAATCTTGACTACTAGTAAGTCCATTTCCAGAAAAATTCCTGGATGTTTGAATCCTCTCTCTCTCTTCTCCATTTAACAGTAATATAATCCACACAGTAAAATATAAACACCTATTAATTAAAAAGATAGTTGACTTCTAGACAGCCTCTGCAAGGCTCCCAATCTAAATTACTGTTCCTGTTTTCACAAAACCTTCCATCTGACAGCCATGGCCTTTTGTAGTATTCTAACACATTGGAAGACGCTGCTGAGCTCAGGACTGTAAAAATCAGGAACTACGGTACTGTACAAAAAGACCACCCACCATCATGACATGTCCTTCCATCCTCCTTCAGGGTGATACCAGTAGGACAGGCACAGGTGATGCCGTTAGGTTTGGGTAGACACAGGTGGCTACAGCCTCCATTGTTGGGACCACACCTGTTGGTACCTGAGTCAAACAACACGACAGAATGTCACTATGGTCACTCTTTTCCTTCCTTGTTATCAGCTTGAAATTAAGCCATTTTGAAAGCTTAAGTAATTTAAAAGGATGAACAGATAAAATACTGGTAAATGTCCTCTCACCATTATACAGATTCCAACAAAACATCCAACACTCTCCTTCTCTAGCAAATTTTTACACATATTCCCATACACCTTCTTCTCCTTGGTTCCCCCCCCCCTTGTACAGCATTCAAACTTTAGAGTTGACTGTCCAAAACCAGGATAAATAGTCCAACATTGTTACCAGATGCTTTCCTATGTATAGAATATACAAAATGCTGAATTTGCTAGCACGGTCTCTCCTACCAAATAAAAACAGTAAATCCCTTACCTAGGTTGTCAGCCTGTATGGCATGTATGTCCATGAGTCCTGGCAGGTTCCCCCGGATGGTAATCTGGTCCTCCCCGGTGTCTTTGCGAGCTCGCTGGATACTGCGGGTCTGCCAGTCGGTCCAGTAGATGTACGCACCCATCAGGGTCAACCCATAGGGGTGAGGGGCTGAGGTCACCAACACATTTCTGTTCTTCCCATTCAGGTCTGAGCTTTCGATTTTCTGCAGAGAAATATGATGCATCAGATTGATGCATTACCACAACTTTTACCATAGGATCTATATCTCCTGGTTACAAAAGGTTTTTCTTTCATTTACATGTAAAATATTAATAAGAAAGTTACATCAAGTAACTAAAATCAACAAAGAAAACAAAGGATATCTACACCCTAAATCTAAAGTGAAGAGTCACACTTGTTGAGGTACATATTTTCTAGTACTGGTTCCTGTATGACTAACAACTTTTTACTTTTCAATAAGAACGTGAAAACTACAAGATTGGTTCAAAGCTCTACCCTCCCCACCTCTGTCCTGGCATCAGCCCAGATGAGTCTGCCTGCAACCTTGTCGATGGTCAGTCCGTTGGGCCAGCCCAGGTTGGTGGACACCAGGACCTGCCGGTCAGTGCCGTCCATGTTGGCTCGCTCCACCCGCGGTGTGCTGCCCCAGTCTGTCCAGTACATGTAGCTACAGACAGGGATAATTGTTACATCTTAGCTTCAGGTATCTTTTATTGGTCACCCTTGTGTCTATAATTTTCAGGCCAACCTGTGGCTTAAACAGTTTCGCCTTCATGGACCCTTAAAATTCCATAGCATTTAACCAACTAGGTACTTTGCCTTGCTTTCAAGAATGATTTACTGGGCCAAAAACAATGAGTGAAGTTCAAACTTTACAATAAATTTTTTAAGGTTATGTGCATAGTAACTGAAATGGTAAACCTGGCACATTTAGAAATAGAAAATCTGTGACTGGAAGTGTCATAGTGGGTAGAAATGATGCGAGGTACATATGGGCAAATCACAATACTACAACAGTTTACCATAATAACCAGTACAAATTTGCACAACTTACCCTGCATCATAGTGGAGTGCGATAGCCCTGGGACTGTCCAGTCCCTCCCAAACCAGTACCAGCCGGTTCCTGCCATCCAGATCAGCCACCTCAATCCGGTCCTTACCGGTATCTGTCCAGTACACCTTCCTGCCCACAGAGTCCACGGCCAGACCATCTGTAGTGTCCAGCCCACTCTCTACCACATTCTCCACCTCCGTGCCATCAAAGTTGGCTCTTTGGATCTTGTCTGTTACACTGTCTGTCCAGTATACCTTTCCTGTACACACAGAAAAGAAATATGGTGAAGACTTTAGTTTTGCATACAGACAGCAGTGTGTACAATCAGCCTAATCTAAGGGTTTGGACAACGGTAAGAATAATCATACTATAATCAATATGTCTCAACAAATAATTGCATGATTAGCATTACCAAACACTTAAACAAAGAAATAAATTTCTTCAATATATTACCAATGTATGTAAAAATAAAAAAGGAAATAAAAATGTCTGTCCATAGTTTAAGTGTTTCCAAGTCTATATGTTGAGTGACATGAGAAAATTCACCATTTTTCTCATCCACGTCAATGGCGATGGCATTCTTCAGCCCACTGATGGGCAGCATGACGTCAGCATAGTAGGGCACGTCCAGAGAGATGGCCCGTACATCTGTCCTTCTGGCAAACACCAGGAAGTTGTGCATCCCTGCAAAACCATTAGAGACAATCAACCATTAATCACAAACTTCCAGACTCCTTAAAAGTCCAAAGAAAGTGTCTAAAGATACCTCAATAACTGTAACAATAAGGTTTAACCATCACTTTAACAGTGATGTAAAATAAGCTAATACATCATTTTATTGCAAGTAGTTACCCTGTAGACATCTCACAAATAGTTTTCTAGACTCAAGGAAATAATCTTTTGTATCTCTTTATCCAATGGAAGACCGAAGTTAACAACAAAGGCCATTTCAGCACCATGGACAGGTCATGCTGCCTTCCTGATCAGCACCAAGGACAGCACCAGAAAATTTGTCTAAAGCTTATTTTCAGCATTACAAGACTTAAATTATGATTTTTAAAATGCTAGCAATGGTTATAGATGCAAAGAATAGAAGAAACAGTCATGTTTGATGGCCCTAACTATTTTTTTTTTTTGGTCTCCTACATGGCAGAAACTTGTGAAAGGTAACGTAGGAGAAGGCTAGCTGGTGTTAGTCAGTAAGGAATTCAAAGCCTTACTTGGTTGGCAGGTTCTGTCGTCACCTAGCAGGGTGACTCCTGTTGGACAGGCACAGCTGTAGCCTCGGCCTGACGACAGCGGCGCTATCAGACACAGGTGGCTACAGCCTCCGTTTCCTACCTGGCACGGACTGGGCACTACAGACAAGGAGAGGTTTTCATATTAAAACACAACTCCTAACACATTGGTGGTTATACATAAAGAAACATACATTTTTGTACAATAAACTTGTAAATACTGTACATAGTGACTGCTGTCTATCACACCCAGTGGAAGAATAGCCCTTCAGTGCGCTAAAGTAGATGGAGATCACTATTTTCTGCCCACCTGGCTGCCTGTCCTTGTGGTACATGTGTATGTCCATCAGGTTCTCCAGGTTTTCCCTCAGCACCTGTCTGCGCAGGCCTGTGATCTTGTCGGCACTCTGGATACTCTTGGACTGCCAGTCTGTCCAGTACACCTTGTCCTCGTGGAGGGTCAGGCCAAACGGGTGAGGCAGCTGGGTACCAATCAGGACCTACATGGAGATCAATATTGGACATTGGTTAACAGTTTGATTGTATATTTGCTGACCACTGACATACTTTTAGGTCTCTTAAAAGTACAGTTAAAAACGAACATTTATGTAAGGCCTAGGCAAAAAAAGGTTTCCTCTTTCAGTTCAGTTCAGCTCAGTTAGGGTCGGTAGGTAGAGATTATCTTTCTTCTTTTTTTTTGTTAGACTTTGGCAATCTCTAGTGATCCAACTCATACAATACAGTTTAACAAAGTAGAACTTGCATGAGGACACTTTTATTTTCAAAGTCAATGTTGGAAAACCAATTTTCATCACATTTCATCACTCAGGTGTCCAGAAAAGGTTGATCAGCTAAAAAAATTCATGTCCCTTGCAGGGGTACACACACAAAATAAAGCCTAGGGTCAGCACTATTTTCTAGGGTCAGTTATTGTTTGGACCTCACCCAACAGCTAACTCAGCACACACCTGTCTGTTTGTCCCATCCAGGGATGAGAACTCGATAGTTTTCAACCCAGCATCAACCCAGAACAGCCGTCCCAACTCCGAGTCGATCGCCAGGCCGTTAGGCCATGTCAGGTTCTTGGTGACGATTGGTTGTCTCTCGGAACCATCCATCCCAGCACGCTCGATCTTAGGGCTCAGGCCCCAGTCTGTCCAGTACATGTGTCTGGTGACGGAAAAGTCAGTGTGGAAAGAGTTATAAGTTATGCTCATCTATTTCCTACATTATCTCACAGAGTAAAGGAATTACTATAAAAGATATGAGAAATTAGAAAAGCATCAGTCAGAAGAACCAGAGCATGAGTATAATGCAAAAATCTATCTTTGTTGTTGCAAAAATGGGCAGAATGGTGGGTACATTTTCACCCTTTCAATTTACCCTTCAATGGGATCCACGATGATGTCCCTGGGACGATCCAGCATCTCCCAGATCAGTACTGATCTTGTGGATCCGTCCAGGTTGGACACCTCGATACGATCTGAGCCAGCGTCTGTCCAGTACAGCTTCCTGGTCACCCAGTCCACAGCCAGGCCGGCCGGACTTTCCAGGCTAGAGTTGACCAGAACCTGTGGGTGTAGGGTGTATGATCATAATACATATCCACTGCAAAATGGTAAACAGCATTCAATTTGTTCTAGAATCTATTGGTCAAATGTACTCTTCTGTCTTGCTATGGGCTATATTGACAGCATTTTAGCATAAACTATAACACTTACTACAAAATATTACACTGTCCCAGTCTCTAAGTCTTTCTACAACAAATTTAAAAAAATACTTTCTACTGCAAAAATTCGAACTCTCTCCCTGTTTCCCTCTCCAATGCAACCCGCAGGGCGTCAAACCCATGATCACCAACATCTCATAGTCACCTACATGTATACCTCCTATCAACTTAGTTCAAGGCCAATAGGTGGTCTTCTGGCATTGAAAAGCAACTTATTGATCAACAAAGCTTCACCTCGATCTCTGATCCGTCCCATTTAGCCCTGTTGATGGTGTCGGCCGTGACGTCGGACCAGTAGATGTGCCCCTCCTCGCTGTCCCAGTCCAGTGCCACGGCGCTGCGCAGCTCGCCCAGAGGGAGAACCACGTCTGCCTTCTCCCGCGTGTCGAACGAGATTCTACGGATGTCTGTCCTTCTGGCAAACAGCAGGAACTGTTCAATGTCTGCAAAGAGGAAAACAAAATCTTAATAAAGCACAAATGAGTATGTTAGTGACCACTACAGTATGAAACAGGAAAGCAAACAACAGAAGAACCATGAATAAAAAAACACAATATTTATAACTCATAACCAGACTGTGACACAGGACAGACAAGACAGACAGAGTATGTTTTACCAGTTGCACACTCCTTGTCGTTCTGTAGCCTGATGCCTGTGGGACAGTGACAGGAGTAGCCGGTGGGGTTCTGCAGACACAGATGACTACAGCCACCATTGTTCTCACCACATCTGTCCACACCTACAGGTAAAGAAATACAGCATGCATATTTATAGATTGTTCTTTTGTACACTTTGTAATGAGAAAAAATAGATACAGGTCGCCATACACCTACATTTGTATATACTTACATTTGTATACCAGTGCACCTTTGGTGCAGGTAGACATCAGAAATATCTGCACAGCTCCAATTCTACCTGCACTAACCTGCATATGCACCCAGTATTTTGAGCCCTGATAAGGTTATCTTTAAATACACGTACCTTATCGATTTCTCAAGTAGCGAGTGACTGTACAGTACTGAATACAACTTCCTAGTCCCACTACGTGTACACTGAACATACCTGGTGGCTGTCTCATGGGGTGGAAAGTGCGGACATCCATGGGGAAGTGCAGGCGCTCCCGGAGTGTCTCAATCTCATTCCCAGTGAACTTGTTAGCGCTGTTGATACTCTTGGTGTGCCAGTCTGTCCAGTACAGGTTATCCTCAAACAGTGTGATGGCAAACGGGTGGGGTAGACCTGGGGAGATAGAGGGGTATTCTTGGATCAGACAAGGTCAATCATGTACAGTGTTATTACAAAGTGACCTTCATGACGTTTGTTTCAATGCTGACAGCTTAACCTTTCAAATTAGCCCTGATCCAGTCTGCATTTGATTGAAGTGTGTATTTACTCTTCCCTTTGACTGACATGGGCTGTGCACTTGAAGAAGCCCACAGACTGAAACTGGTTGTGACAGACTGAACAGAAGTTCTAAATGTCTTACTGAGGGACGGCTGCAGAGTGATAGATGTCCGTTAGCTTGAGGAACAAATCCAATACACTTTACACATGTACAGGCATAGCTTTTTGTAAGTAAATTAGACATCTGAGATTCTAAGATCAGAATTCCTTACCCTGGCTGATGACTGCCTTCCTCTCCGACCCATCCAGGTTGGCACACTCGATGACATGGTGTTTGGCATCGGCCCAGTACAGCTTGTTGGTGGCGTAGTCAAGTGTCAGGCCGTTGGGCCAGAACAGGTTTGTCTTAGCCACCGCTCCCCGCACCGTCCCGTCCATCCCGGCTGATTCGATTTTTGGCGTGGAGCCCCAGTCTGTCCAGAAAAGTTTCCTGTACAGAAATAACAATACATATTGATCACCATATCATATAGGCAAAAATTATGATGTATGAATTCAGGCAGACAAATTCATAAACAGCTGTTTTATGTCGAAGAGAAAATAATTAGTTCTGGCTTCATCTAAAAATGGTAGCTTGACATCAATTTTGATTTCCAGTCTAACATTCTGGTCACAACCAAAGTACTGCAGTGTAATAAACATTATAGTAAACATCACTTATTTTCAGTTGGTTGCAGCATCAGACAATGTTCTAATCATGCTGAAAGGAATGTTTTGCTGTGTTCAAGCCAGGCTAGGGATACAGTTTGAAAACTGGCACCCCCCTTAATCTTAAAATTGGGGTGTAATGTTAGAACCTCTTTTTAATCCAGGGCTCTTACCCTTCCAATGGATGGACGGCAATGGCTCTGGGTTTTTCCACATTTTCCCACAGGACGACTTTCCTGTAGGATCCATCCAGATGGGAGACCTCAATCCTGGCTGTGCCTGAGTCTGTCCAGTACAACTTGTTCCCCACCCAGTCTACAGCAACGCCACCTAGCAGCACCAAGAGGAACAGCATGAGACTTTCAGGACACTTCTAAACTGATCATTATGTGATTTTCAGAAGTTATGCACTACCAAGTCTTCATCGTGCATACCATACATTTTGACGTTAAAGCCTTCCAATCCAACAGCATTTGTTTTAATTGCTAACCAACCAGAACTGGTGTTTGGTGTAACAGTTTCTCACCAAAACATTGCCAGTACTACCAGTTTATGCATAATAATACCCCTTATGTGTGTAGAAAATTACAGCTTTCAGATCAGAGGAAGCAATAAATTCCCTACTAAGCATCTGTCAAAAAGTGCACACCCATGATTATGTACTGCTGACAGGTCAACTGTGTACAATGTTATTTAATGTGAAGGACACTGAGGCACTGTCTTAGTTACTCTACAGGGATTGTCAGAATGGCAACAACAAATGTATGGCAAATGTCCCTGATACACATATGTAGAAATGGCATCAATAGTCTTAGTAACTTACTGTTGTACAAAAAAAATCTAGTACAGTCAAACCTGCCCAAGCTACAATGTGGCAAGCCCAGCCACCTGGCCAGAACAACTCTTCCCATTCCTGAGTTGTTTTTTTCAATAGGCATGAGCATCATCAACTGACCTGCCCAAGGCCACTTACTATACAAAAAGCCTACTTTACTTCAGTCACCTGGGTAGCCTTCTTGGGTAGGTTTGACTGTAATGTAAAATCAGTACGCTCTGTAGATAATGTACATTATCATTTGTTCCTACCTGCACTCTCCAGCCCTGCTGACACCACTGCTGTAGGGAGTGAACTATTCATGCTGACCACTACACTGGACTTTGCAGAGCCTATAACATGGGTACAACAATACATGTGGCCCCACTTTGATCTTATTCCCCCTTTTTAATTCAAAACAATTTTTCTCTGTTCTTCCCAGACGAATCTTTAGTTTGCAGAATAAATTCCTTCTGCAAATACTGTCTTAGTCATTGAACAGCAAATAAACAATTCAAACCTTGTGTCAATTGTGACACATTGCAATTAAATGCAATCAAATCAGTTTTCACAAATTGCAACAAATGAATTTCCATTTCTAAGAATTACCAAAAGTCATCCCAAAACCAGCAGCAAAATCTCACCAAATGTCATCACCAAAATCTCTTTAGTATTTGAGTGTGTGTGAGTTCCTTAGCATTGTTCAGAAACCAAAACCAGCAATTAACAAATGAATCATTCTCAAAGTAGCACCCACGCCTTGTTGCACCCATGTTTTTAATTCCAGGGACAGGCCATGTGATAGTGTGTGGGAGTGGTGGGAGGATGTCAGTATATATGACTGCATGTGGATTTATTTCAACACCTAGCTGTCCTGGTTCTATGCAGGCAGCTGATTCAAAATCAAAGTATTTTCCAACACTGTCACAACCCTCCAAACAATCACATGTGGCCTGTCCCTTCCAAATACCCATACATTTCCTAAAGCACCACCAGTCAAACCTAGAAAACTGTTCCAACACGAGAACACTTACCTGGACTCTCCAACCCCGTACTGACCACCTCGGCCATCCCCGAGCCGTTTAGATATGCCCGCATGATCCTGTCCAGTGTAACGTCTGACCAGTAGACCCAGTTCAGTTCTGAGTGGAAGTCTAGCGCGATGGCGTTCTGCAGGTTACTCAGGATCGGGTCGTAGTCTGATCTGTCTGGGTGCATCCGCCGAATGTCGATACGATTGGCAAACAATAACCAAGCTTCTGGACCTGTAGACAGCAATACAATTGTCTTAAATGTTAAATTACCATAAAGCCATGCTTAAAGTGAGTATAATGAGCCAAAAATGAATGTTCAACTTGAACTCTTTGAATCTGTGAGGTATTCTGCTTTCACCATGTAACATACAGGAAAGTTGCTCACACAGAAATGTATGACAGAAGTCTTACCCAGAGCCTTGCAGCCCTTCTTGTCAGGCTTGAGCTCGTAGCCTTTCACACAGGAGCACTGAAAGCTGCCGATGGTGTTGTGACACATCTGACTACAGGTCCCCTCCAGCTGGCACTCATCCACATCTGGGAAGGAAAAAGCCAAAAAATTAGCCTACTAAACCTCGAGTCCATTTTCAATCAATATCACCTTCAGGAGAAAAATCTCTGTTTGACGTGTAAAATTTCTCATATCATTACACTCAACCTTTGCGATCCACACAGAATTTGAGTTGAAAATGAAAGCTTTGAAGTGTGCCTGACTGAACACACGTCTGTACGTACCAGCACAGGTCCTTCCATCCGGCATGAGCCGGTACCCCTCGTGGCAGGAGCACCAGATCCGACTCCCCATCATGCTGCACTTGTGTTCACAGCCACCGTTACCATCCTGACAGGACCCGGGGACCTCAATGTCTGCGGAGGGAAAGGAACAAGCTCAACTACAAGTCGGTGAAGGTAGCTTAACTACAATTCATCAAAATGCGGATGATACAAGAGCCCATGCACTTCTTACACACAGACTGACATCAGCTGGACTCAAGATTTAACATTCGAAATTAAGCCTTGCTGTGTCTGTACAATTTAAACAACATTCACAATTACCACAAGAATTTACAAGAGTTCATTTTGATACTTTAAGTGTATGTGAGATGGAGAATCTAGATGGAGATGGAGGCTGCTCAAGTTAAAAACAGACCAAACCAACTAAAAGTAAAATGCTGCTGCAATGGTGTAGAGAGAATGAAAGATCCTTACTGCACTGCAGTTCTGGTGCCTCGTCACTGTTGTCTCCACAGTTGTCCACACCATTGCACAGCTTGTGGGAGCCGATACACCGGGTGTTGTTACACCTGAACTGGTCAGGGGCACACACCTGGGGGGCTGGGGGAAACATGGCAGAGAAACATCAGGACTCCAGTCAGAAACATTGGTGTAATATTGCCAGCTGCTGCTGTGCCAAGTGAATGCAAAGTTGGTGCGTTACTCTGATTGGCGATCATACTGGCTATACAGATACAGAAACAGGTGAGGCTTATTCTCAATACTGAAAAGTTTCACAGAGGAGTACCAAGATTTAATACATGCAACATACAAAAAGTTTTAAGAGTCATTTTGCACTAACTTTTTAAAGGTAAATGCTTACTATATACTGGACAGGTGTAGCTTATGCAATGATGAAAATGTTTTAACGAAGCTTGATTATAACAAAATTGACTGACTCTCATAGCAATATAAAAGGGTTAAAATTTGACACAATTTATATATCATGAAAAGTATTCCCTAGGGCCCTAAAAATCTTAAGTAGGCTTCCAATTATAGTACAACGAGCAAACTGTGACTACCGGTACATCCTTTGGGAAGTAAAGACTCACCACAGTCCACCTCATCACTGTTGTCAAAACAGTCGTCCTCCCCGTCACATCGCCATGACAACCTGATACACCGCCCGCTCTGGCAGCGGAACTGGTTACTGGCACAGCTGGGGGTCGCTGTAAACAAGCAGGAAGGTAAACAACTGGGCGGGACTGTACACTGGCAGAAAAGTAAACAACTAGGCTTAGCTGGAATTGAATTGTACGAAAAACAGCTGGGAATGGTAGTGAGAAACAAGTGTCAATGTTAAGATTCAGTCATGCTAAACAACAATATAGAATTGTTGATAAATGATGTATGGATAAGAGGTTGATATTTTTGTCACCCTCTTATCCAAACAAGTACAAACAGAGCACAAAGTTTGCTAGCATTTGCAAAACACAGTCTTGATATGGAAATTGCTCCCACAAACAACCTGATTGTGAAGCTGCATAATGGAACGTCTATACTCACGGCAGTTTTTCTCGTCAGACTGATCATCACAGTCAAAGTCTCCGTCACACTGCCAGGCAGCGTTGATACAGATCCCAGTGCCACACTGGAACTCTCCCGACCTGCAGGGCTTTCTGGTAGCTGTGGTACAGGGGAAACAAGCAATGATGTCAAACATGGTACAGTTCAGTTGCATTTATTTTACTGTAAATCACTATTTTTTCGTGGTACTTTTATATTCACAGTTTTCACAGTCACTTCTGAACCACAAACTTATCATTAGCATAGACAAATATTTCACCAACTATCTTTTTGCTGCACCTGCTGCCACCGCGAATGCATAGTTCCACGAACGTGTCCATTTTTCTCAGACAGCGAACCTTTGCTACAGCAAACATTAAGTGATTTACAGTAGCATGTTCAACACTAGATTCTATTAACCACTTTATATCACTGTTCACATTTGGATTTTATTAACCACTTTATATCACTGTAAATATTTCAAAGGTGCCTCTGTCTCCCAATAGGTGGATGGAGATGCATGTTAGAGCTCAATTGTAATCTAATTAGTGAACTGCAAGACAGGCAATGTTCTCACAGCTATATACAAATGTACTCTGATGTTAGTGATGGGTCCAAGTGCTTATACGTCAAACACTTCCAAGACTGTCCTACCTAAGAAATACACAAGGTGGCTCTTCTGGACCTGTCTGGCAGCACACAAAAGGAAAAGACTTTCACAGCTTACCACAAGCTATCTCGTCGCTCCAGTCCCCACAGTCATTGTCACCGTCACACGCGTACACCTCTAGGATACAGCGGCCGTAGTCACAGCGGTACTCATCTGGGGCACAGGTTGCCGGCATGGTAGCTGGGCAGAAAACATTACACAATTTACTCTTCTGTACAAAAAAATATTTCTCCTTTTTACCACACCCTAAATGCCTACTGCCATAACCACTTCTTGTTAACTTTCTAACAAACGACTTGCCCTGTCCGCTGGTAACAGCTTTTGGTAGACACAAAATGAGGTCCGCACCCATTACATAGCAATCAAATTTCTAGCGGAAAGCAGGTGTTTGATGCCTTTCTACATGATTGAATGTGACATGTTGTTACCAGGCAACATTGCACTACATGGTTCAAGTAGTCTTTAGAGATGAGGTTGATTTACCAGGTTCTGGCAGCCATCAGCTGTCAGACTGTTGGGCCTAGGGAAAAAAATGTTGTGTTTCCTGTTTCAGTGCCGAAAAAATTAAGGTCAGTAGTTTTAGACTTTGGCAATCTCTAGTGATCCAACTTGTACAATTATACAATTTACAAAGTAAAACTTGACCCTAATATTTTCAATTTCAATGTTGGAAAACCGGTTGTACAACGTTTCATCACTCAGGTGTCAGATCATGGAGCTAGAAAAGGTCAATCAGTTCGAAAAATTTATGTCAGTTGCAGGGGTCCACACAAAAAAAAGGCTAAGGTCGGCAGTTTTTTCAAGGGTCAGTGGGGGAAACAGGAAACACAACATATTTTTCCGAGGCGTTGCTAAGTGAGCGGGACTTACGACAATCCTCCTCGTCCGAGCCGTCAGTACAGTCCCTGTCCTTGTCACATCTCCAGAGGGAGGTGATACAGCTGTTGTCTCCACAGGTGAACTCTGCTGCCGTACACGTTCTCGAGGCTGGAACACAAACAAGAAATCATCAATATGAACTTGAAACCCTGGGTAAAATTTGTACAACAGAAGACACAAGAAAACAGTTACTCAAGCAACTCAGTAGATTAAAATCTATCTAGTTCCATGAGTGACTGTTTTCTTGTAATAGAAGAAGATATTCTAGATAGATATTTAAGATTAATTACAGCACCCTTCACTACACCTACAATTGTATGTATCATAAATAGTGTTCAGACAATTTCCTTTTTGCCGTTAGATTTATCTTGGTTCTGTTTAGCTTTCATATTGGTCTACTAGATCATAAAAATCTTGACAAAACCCTACCATTTTTTCAGTAAATACAATCAGCTATGGATCATTGCCTTAAATGTTCTCAGTACAGAAACTCACGGCAGTTTTCGTCGCTGTTGTCCCCACAGTCATCGTCACCGTCACATCTCCACCTGTTCCTGATGCACTGGCCGTTGGCACAGGCAAACTCATCATCTGTGCAGTTTCTGGGAGCTATGGCAACATAGAATATATCACAGCAAGAAACGGTATTCCATCTTACCGCCACTTTTGATTCACTCCTGACGTCATCACGCTTCTGACTTCTGAAGAGTCAGCGAGTAGATCACTCATCTGATGAAGGTTGAAGATCGACTGAAAATTTATGGTCAGTTCCTTTCCAGTGTTGAAACAAAGCTTAAAACTCTACAACTATGGATTCTGCCAACAGCCCAACACAGATGAGCTTTCAATCAAAAATGGCAATCTATCTTAAGACAGAAGGGATTTTGTCCTCAAACACTGTACACTGTACACAAACCTGTTTGCCATTTGCAGAATTTAGCCCTATTGGGTACAACTAGTTTCTCACTTTTCCTGGGGATACCTTCAGTAGGTCTTTAACGTTGAGAACCCATAACTACTGAGTGTTAGGGTAGAAACAGCTTTATTGTAGATCCCACATGTTGTACATCAGCGAGGCATGCCAGGAATCCTCACCTCCACCCACCCAAATCTGCCCATAAGGCCATGGTGATTTGATTCTATGGATGACATCCACACATGCATGAATTTTCATACGATTCCCCCGAAAAAGTTTTGGACCATACTGTAAATCGTACAAAGTAACTGCAAAATGAACAAATAATAATGCCATAAATTGTGAGACAAATATTAGGAAACAATACTTATGTCGTCGAATGACACAATCAGTTCCAAAGGCTAAGAAGACAATGTGAGGAAATGAAAATTAAGGGTCAATTATTCTCCATACAATATTCTGCGTGTTTTTATTAGTACAACATAGATTTCATAATGAAGGCAACTTTTTTTTGCCAAACTTTTTTTATTCGCATGCTCGTATCAGTTTTGGGGTTCCCAGATGATGTCATCCATCTAATCTAATCAACATGGCCTAACCTCCAACTACCAGGCACAGACACATCCTACAGATGTGTGTTGGGACAACGGAAATCCACCCAATAGTGAAAACATATTTCTTTGATCACCTTCAGGTGGACATTTCAGCAGCTTCCGTTTCAATCTTTCCCAAAGAAGACATATGGAGGCCTAGTGCATTTATTTCCTAAAGGTGGCTTGCACAGTCAAGTACGAATTCAATGTGGATGTCCTTTTAACTATCCAGGTAATCCTGTCTTTAAGTTATGTGAACAAATTTCTTTTGTATCTTGTCTGAACTGGAAGTTCCCGTGGAGTTTACATGATATTCTTGCCTAGATAGGGCAATATTGACAAGTTTTATTGTTCTTGGTGAACAAGAAGACTTGGAACACAGAGGAGTACTTACGACAGGCGATCTCATCTGAGTCATCTCCGCAGTCGTTGTCTTGGTCACACAGCCAGGAGTGGCGGATACACTTGCCGTTACTGCAGGTAAAGTCTGCATCTGAACAGGTGGGCAGGGCTGGAGGGAAGGGGAACACGGCAAGGACATGTCAAGAAACTTTCAGCAAACTGGTGCAAAGGAAGCGAAGTCCAATATGTCAATGTCAAGTTATTCTAGCAGCCTACAGTAATTTCTGACTGATTGTAAGTACCTCTGCTCTGGTTAGATGGGTCTCTATATTGGAATAGAAACTCTTTACTGATTGGATGGTCATTGCGTTGACTAAAAAAGTCTCCAATGGGATTGCATGATACTTACTGCAACCGTCTTCATCGCTGGAGTCTCCACAGTCGTTGTCCCCGTCACACTGCCACTGGGAGGGGATACATGTGCACTCACCCCAGGGTGTGGGCTCACAGGCAAACTGGTTCTTCCCACAGCGGCATGGGACCTGGGCTGCACTCACTGTCAACACATAACGGAAATGTATGTTAAACTCTGTAGGACTCATCATTAGCTACCCTTACAGCAAATTGCAAAAGCAGGGCTCGAAATACTGAGTGCATACAGTAACACTCTAGTACAGGCGAAATTAGGGTCTGCGGGTACATGTATTTCTGATGTTTACCTGTACCTGATATAAATGTATGTGTATGTGAATTTTAATTGCTGCATTGACTGTTATCCCCTATGATGTATAAAAGAAACAGTGATCATTTCTGAACAGTTTTTAGTATGATCCATACTTCTCAAAGTCTTAGTGGTGCAGGTTAAATTTGTCTGGTGCAGGTAATGTTATGCAAAAAAAAAGGATTTCGAGCCCTGAAAAGTCCTGGAGTGAAAGATAAAATGGATACAGATGAGACTTGGACAGACGGCAGTGGACCTAAGCGAATGCCTGCTCGATCAAGGGATTCCTAGCATTTGCCCCCGAAAATTTATGTCCTCTTATTTTCCCCACAACTGGAGAGGGCAATGACATTGGGCAAAATCAATATATCAAATCTTCATTCATGGCTTCATGTTACAGTCTCTATTGGAGCAAGGCTGCATTTTCTGGGTTGAAGTCAAACTGCCTGGGGATAATTTTGACAGTTACCAACACATGTACATAAAAGACTTTGTACTGTTATTTCTTGCATCTTTGAAATGTGAGGCACCAACTGAAGCTTGGCAGGAAAAGCCAGGATTTCACACAATAAGAATGCTTCCCCGGGACATTTGCCCTCCACACACACATTTGCAGTCCCAGGGACCTGTGACAAATGTGCGCCCCAACGTGTAGCGACACCACAGATGGGACCTCTCCCAGACGGACTCCGCGGAACATCACGTAGGACAGGGCACTTCCGGATTGAGCTGGAAGCGCTTCCCGCCGCGCGCTCAGCTCTTAGAGTGGCTTTGTGTCCGAGCTGAGGAGGGGGGAAATTATGCAACACTTGGGATCTCGCTGGGGGTTGGTAGGCATGGAATAACCTTAAAAGAGAGTTTTGCACTCTATTATTTTGTCCAAATTGCCAACAGCAAAATGGTTGAGTATGCCCACTATTTCATGTTCGCAAATTTTTCATAGCTAGGATATATCCCTGCTGCTTTAATCTTTAATAAATTTGGAAAATATATTAGTCAGAACTAGTCAAGGAGGTTTGCCTCATTATGAATCATAATTGCAACAGGGCTTTATCATAATATGATAAAGCCTTTTCAAATTAGATTTCAGAAAATGAAGACAATGAAATGTACTACTCGACAGTTTCAAATTCAGTCTAGGAGAGGTCTTATAGTTATACACCATGTAGAACTGTTCACAGTACACATTTGTATAACATATAAAAATACACATTTTCTACAATATAAACAAACCCATTTCCCCAACAACAATGGATAAAAGTATCCAAACAGAGCTATCCAACTGTGACTTCCTGTGTTGCTTTTGTACCGCTAGTTCTGTTAACAAAGGGTTATTTCCTGGGAGGCTGCCCATGACATTGACTTGGCGTTCTAGGTAGGGGTGCTGGCGTCTAATTACTGCTCAGAGGGTCCTGAATCTCGGGTTCAGCCCAAATAATGGGTATTTGGACTGAAGGCCGCTAACAGAGATGGATACAAGTGGCGGGGAGTAATGGTGGAACCTGGGGGGTGCCAGGGCAATGTCAAGACCACACAAACTACACAAAGAGCGCAGGGCTGGGACAAATGCTTGTTTGGGACAGGGCCAGAATTCCTGCCTGACTTTGTTACTTCAGAAATATATTGGCCATAGCAACCTACAAAATGTTGTTCAAATTATGATCATATCCTGACTGCTATCAATTACATATACAAAACAATTTCCTGTAATAATATTGCAAAGGATTTTCTCTATATAGCACTACACATGTATATATGAATCCTTATCAAATTTATAAATCAAGTATTCAAAAGGGCTTTTTGCAAATTATTCCAAAGCAAAGAGTTGACAGAATATATTGCAAAAGTCAATCTCTGCATTTTGAGCATTTCAGTACGCTTTGAGTTCACAAGTCGAACTACAAGTAGTACAAACAGATTCCTAATTTTTTCATGATATTTTTATGTTTTCACAGTAACTTCTGTACCATGAAATTATCATTACTGTTATGTGTTAACAAATAATTCATAGATTTCAGGGTTTTTTTTCTAAACAGGGGAATAAGGGTGCTGCTCCCTCATGTAACGAGCTAGCTCCCTCATATCAATTCTCAGACTGGCCCCTAAGTGGCTACTTTGATTACATACCACTTTGTCTTTCTCAAAATGATTTTTTTTCCAGTAAAGATGTAAAAACAACACAACACAACAATGCATTCTAGCATTGCAAACTGTGCTATTCTCATAGTCATAAAAACATCCCCCCTCTGTCACTTCACTCCCTTGCCATGCTTGCGATCTGCTCCCTCATGCTAAATTTTTCTAGAAAAACCCCTGGATTTTCTTTCTTCTACATCTGCAGCGATCATGAACATATAGTTCTGTGAACACCTCCATTTTTCTCAGACCGTGAACTTAAGCTACCGTGAACCATATAGTGAATTATAGTATATACATAGCATGACGTTACTTAGTATCAATTTTACACAAGACAACAGGAAGACGACACCCTATGGTGTCTACAAATAATACAGTCAGCAACATTGGCTGGTTCACATGTGGCTGGTTCTGAACTGAGGAGGTTTGTGTGGGGCTGGAAGGGCTGACCAGCTGTTTGAGGTCTTATTTGTAAGCTCGGCGGGTGAGCCCAAGCTCAAAGTCACGACCGCACAAAGGACTCGGGGAAGCTGGGAGTACAGGAAGTCTGGACACAAATAGCTCCTTACCCGGGATGGCGCTACTTTGGAGTGTGAGAGAAAAGAACAAACTGGACAGAAAGTGGTGCTGGGGCAAGTTCCGGTCATGAACGGATTAGGACTGGGATCACGCCGAGTGAAGCCACTGCACGCTAGCACGCTAAACCTTAGGTCTTCTCCTTCCCAATACACCATTACATACTTGTGTCCAGGAGAAAACACAGGAATGCTTAGTTATGGCAAAGCAAAAAAAAATTTTCTCTGTCAGATCATTCATTGATGGCCACAAAATTGTTTTCGTGACCGCCATGTGTACCAGAACTGTCAAGGTCAAGACTCTGGTTTTAAAAGATGTTGATATTCTCAAAGGTACTTTTGTGGTAGAGTACATCCTGTTTAGAATGCGCTGGTTAATTTAGGCCCTGAGTTCCAATTATTGTTGCTACAGGGGCTTCTTAGTCACAGCAGAATTTGAGAGAAAAAAGGAGAAGAATTTATGGTCACTTTTAGCAAGTCATGGGCACCAGGTAACAAGGTGTGATAAGGTCAATGAGGGTCGTGCTCTAAGCTCTTTCCCTTCACTACAGAGATCTAAGGCCACACCAATTTATTTCCTTGGTTAACGGATTCGCCGCTTCGTTTTTTTGCCAAAATGAAATAAAAATAAAAACAGAACAAAAATCCATACTCTCGGGTCCCGAATTGGGGCCCCAAAATCCACCCCGTACGTTGTAATTTTTCAAAATTTGGGCATAGTTAACAGCGTTAGAAATACATTGCTTCAAGGCAGAAACATTTTTCTGAGTGCAATTTGTTCGGAAAGCTAGGTTGCCTCTTCAAAAGTTCGTCAAAAAAAATTCTTTTGATATAGAACTCGCCCCCCACCCCCTTTGCACATGTCACCATTCATGGGACAAAACTTCACTGACGACAGTCAAACGTACGGCAGATTTACTAAGTCATCGTGCCTGTAACAACATATCATCTCCCTTTTAGATATATATTATATTTCATTTAGAAACACGTATTGTGTCGGAAACATGTGCTAGTAACGGGCGTTAAAAGTACAATGTAATCGGCCGAACGTATAAACTCGGCCTGGGCGGCACATGCACACACACCTTCAAAACGATCTTTTTTCCAGGGAATATGTAAAAATAACACGACATAACAATGTATTCTGGCATCACAAACTGTAATACTCTCAAAAAGTACAAAATCCTACCACAAACATGGGAATTTGGCAAAGTAAAAAGTCCTCCATGCACGTAAGTCCATTCACTATTTCTCACGGTCGGAAGAGTCCACTTCGAGTAGGGGGAAACAGTTTCTTTTAATTATAGAAATTACTCTGTGAAAAATACTACTTGTGCATGTGGCATTCTAACAAAGTTGTATCTTATTTAGATACCTATAAACAGGAGTACAATTGCAAATAATGCATTAATTATTACATCTAAATTCTTTAATAAAATGGTTCCCCCTACAAATAAAAATCCCCATACATCAAAGACTTTATAGTGAAGCCCTAGACCATTGAATTTGTGGCAACTTGAAGAGTGTGTCAATGTGGCTATTTGTTTGAATGATGGCTATGTATAATGTAGCTGTAGCATACCTAAAGTGTATAATGAGAAATATAAAATGTATACTACCGGTAGTATTTGGGAATTGGGGAAAGATAAAAAAAGAAATAAAATATCTGTAAAAGTAGCTAATTCTTTTGCCAATAACTTTTACACATTCCTGGAAATTTGTCTAAAGCATATATTTAGGATATTGTAAATTTCAAGCTCTAAATAACTTCCATATCAGCCAGACACAATAGAATGCCTAGCCCAGTGGTAAGCTGTGTGTCCTGAACTAAGAGAACAATGGGATCTGAACAGAGCACCCTGATTTAAACCACTCTTTGGAACTTTGAAAGATGAATAAAAGTGAAACCAGTTGGATGGGAGTCTTGTCAACTGACAGTTTGTTGTTCATACAGTAAAGATGTGTATCTTGCAAAATAATACAAATAATTGTAAAGGGATGTAAGAGAAGTTGCTCATGTACATGTAGTAATGGTCCTTTCAGTTCAATAAGTGTCTAATATAATGTCTTATATCATTTTGTAACTTAACTTAATGGATTGCTTACTACATGGCTGTATGACAG